CTCTCAGGAATATTAGTGCAAGGAATAAAATTTCTTGCAGCATATCTACAGGAGAAATAACAGTTTTAACCTCAGGTGGTATTTCTCAATCCCTTTTATCACAACACTCATGGAATATTTTTTGGGGAAAAGGACCTTTCTGGACATTGCTACTGTATTGCACAAGCAATAATAACATTATTGGAACACTAAATAGAAGTTAGGTAATTTTTTTATATATATATATATATATATTTCTTGCTTAATTTTGGGGATGTATCTAGCCACTGCAGTTATTTCATGTGCAATCAGTTGGGAAACTTGTGTCTAAAGGCCTGCATTTGCCAGTACCAACTGCTAATCCCTGTATAACAAATTAATATGCAGTCACTGCCACCCAACTTGCCCTTTGATCCATAAGTAATTGTCAAATGCTGAAAGTTACTGAGTGTTCTTGCCATCTTTCTTGCAAGTTGCACTAGCACAGTTGCCATAGGTGCTGGAAGTTATTTCCTGGAGGCAGGCTCTGGATGGCAAAGCTGTGAGCAGCATTATCTGAGTGCTTTCTTCCATAGGAGACTCGGATCAATGTGGAGGGGCACTGGTTACGTGTCCCTTCCTCCCTCCCTCAGGGAACTGGTAAAAAAACAACAAAGAACCAGCAGAGAGGCAGGTGTTGAGACAGGGCAGATTAACAGGGCCTGTCAGGGCATGGCCCCAGCTTTAAGTTCAATTTTGAAGGGAATTTCTTGCCACACACAGTGTGTAACTCTAAATCCCCTTGTTCCCTTCATATTAGCAGTATTGCAGTGCAAGTACCCATCATTCAGCTTTCCTTGGAAGTGAGGAGATAAAGCTGCCCTGGACCAGGAAGAAAGGCATGGATCAGACTTCTGGTCCCTGCACTTTATGCATGGCTAATTGTCACTTTGCCACTTTAATAAAACAGATGTTCTCTCTTAGCAGCTTAATGCAATTAGTGTAATACTTCAAAGGGCTGCTGCCCCAGCCACTATGCTGGAGATTGAGGAGTGTGTGACTGGAGGGTTATTAACCTTCTGTGCTACTGCTTGGGATTTTTTTCCTACTTAAGCTATAGAAAATCAAATACAGAAAAGTCCCCATAATCTTTCTCCGAAGTATTTTTGGATGCATATTTAGGTTGCTAAATCAGCCTCTCAAATCTAAAATGTTACATAAAAGAGCTCTACCTGAGAAAAATCCTGTGAGGAATGATGGTGTAATTGAAGGCTGAGCTGCCAGTCACAGTTTTGGCCAGAGGATGTGTTACCTCCTCTGGGTTATGAGCCATCCTGACCCTCCCTAATGGCCATGTGGCTGCTTCTATTTCAGTCTTCCCTTGGTTTTTATCTGTTTTATCATACAGATTGTTTTCTCTATTTTGTGAAATTTTAAGACTGTGGAATGACTACATAATGCTTTATTTGTATATCCTTGGAGTGGAAAACATGGGCAGCCAGCTACCGGTCTTGCTTTAACTTTGACCAGTTCCTGACCTGTGTTCAGTATTAGTTTTCAGTATTTTCTCAGCCATTTGCTTTTTGATTACAACCCTCCTGTATTTCAAATTGGATGTATTTTTTTGTGATGAACTGTTATGACACACACTTCTGGATGCTTAATTTCTGTCAGACTTTATAGGAGTCTCGTATGGAGTTTGTTTATTTAGGTTGACTTAAAAGAGCTCTGTCATCACTGCCCTGTCATTGTGGTTTTCCTTTCCTTGGCAGTCATCAGCTGTGCTGTGAGAAAACCACTGATAGAGATTGAGATGATAAATTGCTCCAGCTTATGACATTAGCATTGCACTTCACAGTTTTTTGCAATATTTTTGCTGGTGCTTCTCTCAGATGGTTCTAAAAATATGGTATTTGTGAACTTTGTACTTCTACTTTTACCCCACATGCCTTACCCAAAGGCCTGTACATGCTCCTTTACTCACTGGCAGCAGTTACACAGTGCTGTTGCCGTACAAAAAGGATCCTAATGTAAAGATACTGATTTCAGCCTCTTTTTGTGAAAATGAAAACTGGTTCTTTTTGTCAGGCTTGAACATATATCTTCTAACATCTTTTTACTGTCTTTCCCTGTTGATTTTCTTAACCCTTTGAGGGATTTTGTTATGCAGAAGTTTTGGAGATGATCCCAGATACTTTGTATTTTCCAGCATTATGAAAAATTCATCCAGCTATTCCTTAAGTAGAGGTATCATGCAGTTCCCAGTAGTCTACCCAGAAAACATGGAGTTGCTCTTCTCTTAGGCAAACTTTCTGTCACCAAAGGTCTTGCAGCAATTAGGACCAGGGGTGCCAGTCCCATTTCTGTTGCTTTTCTCATTTTTATTTGGGATATTAACATAAATTTTCTTGTTTCTTCACACACTTTCACACCTGAATTGCAGCCTTAATGCTCCCAGGTTCTATTATTTCATTCCACCTTGTGAATTTTGCAGGTTTCTGAAGACAATTGTGAGCAAAGATTTAAAAAGCGTAGCAATGTATTGTGCAATTTCCACTTCTAAATATTATTTATTTGAAGCCTCACTCAAGGCAATTGACTGCTTCTTTGTGCCTAGTGTATGAACAGTTCCTGTGCTTCAGAGATCCTAATTCTGATATGACATTCCCTCTTGCCAAATGTGTTACAGTTTATTCTTCATATTGAAATATTGATGTCCCAGAGCTGAAATGAAACCTTTGCTTACTCAAGTGTTTCAGGACCATGCTTGTTTGATTGTTGCATTACCTGCACAGCTTTACTTTTGCAAGCATTGTACTAATCTTCCTGAGACTTACTTCACACTGTGATTTTATGTCCACTAAATTCTTACCTTTGGCTTCCTGATAACTCTCATTAAAACTTGCTGGTTTTGCCTCTGTGTTCATTTCTTTGTACTGCTCCTTTTTTTGGCTTACAGTCTTCTAGGTAAGCTGAGTTTTCTGCCAAAAATACAAACCCAGCAAATATTGCTGATAGTCTGTCCAGAGGAGGATGCATCAGACAGGAAAAGGTCCATGTGCATACAAGATCCTGATTTTCTTTCCAGTACAGCTCTTCCAGTGACATTAGGTAGTGGTGGAAGTAACAATTCATGCATCTCGTTTCAGACAGTTGGGGAAGTTTAAAAACACCGGAAAAGGAAAGGTAACGGTAACATCTGGCAGGATAAATTGCTGGGTGGCTCCTTTGGCTTCATCCTGATTCTGACACTGGTGATTTTACTCCAGTTAAACCTGACCCATGTTCTGAAAGAATTCATTTCATTCATTGGTATCAACATACTAATGCAATACCAATATGAAACATCTAAAATTAAGCCATGGAATCTGGACTAAACAGAGAAGAGATGAACATGGTTTCATTTAGTCTATTCATGAAATTTATGTAATTTCTTCTAGCTTCAGTTGTCTGCACATTGAACTTTCTTCCATTTTTTTTCCAAGATTTTTTAAAATTTGAAACTGATATTTTGGTTTGAAGAAACAAAATTTTCCAATTTTATGTTTTGTTGATTTCAGCCACATAATGGGCAATGGTACCTAATTTGCACCAGTTTTAGCAAAGCCATGGAAGCCACCTCAGCCCAATTCCCACCATGATGTCCATTATATGCACAGATAAGGTGATCAAAGATACTCATCCGTGCTGCCTTCTTTGTATAACACAGGCACGTGTGTACCCACAAAAGCTGCAAAGCCTGGCCAGCTGAAGGAGATGAATGGCTACCACTGAGTCACATTACTTTCTTCATGCTGCCAGGTTTGCAAAATACCGCATTTATGTCTGCGTTGGAGGGCACAGCAGCTTCTTGTTCAGACTTGAACTCACTTTTAGTGAAGACACTTTCTCTTCACAATGCAAGATTGAATCCTCTGGTTACTGGCACACAGAGCTTTCCCCGATCTGTGCTTCAAACTCAGTGTGAATCCCTTCATTAGCAGAGGAGAGATTTTTAATGTGTCCTGTAAACTTATTGAGAACTGGTAATAATAGCCATGATTCTGAAACTGACTAAAACAATGTAGACAATAAACCAAGGTACATGAAGCTTTCAACTAGGTTACATTAAAAAAAGTATATAAAGAATTGGAATTTCATATTTATTTTATTTTTTAATATAAAAAATGTAATGTGATTTTAAAAATTATTTAATTGTTATGTGAGGTTTTAAGCACTGTGTCATTAGTGCTCACTTGGTGGAATGTTTCTTCCATTTACTGGAAAAAACATGTTTGAATGCTCAAAGCCAATTTTTCAGATATCACATGTAGCAATCTCATCTTCTAATTACATCTTTAGTCCTTAACTACACTTGATTTTTCCTGTGTAAACTGTGTGTACTGGCAGGCAAATTTGAATTTACAACCACATTTAAATAATGCTTTTGATGAAAATGCCTGGAACGTCTTACCTATTGTAAGTACATACTATATATCCAATCTAACCTATTGTAAATATATACTGTGTACTATTGTAACTATATTCTAGGTAATTGTGTAGCCTAACCTATATGTAACAATCATAACCTGAATGAAGTCATTCTAAGGTGAATCACTAAGTATGTTTTTAAAGTTCCCAAGGCAGATGAAACTGAGTTTCACCCATCTCATGTCCGGTGGTCAGCAAGGGCTCTCACCTTGTGTCACTCCAATCCTGATCTCCCAATAGACACCAGCAGTTCCCTGACACACTCTTCAGGAAAAATACCTTGAGTATCAGTGATTCCACATTCCAATACTGAGGCTTGCTGAAAGCAGAGAGATGTGCTGATCAGGGATCAGTTTGGTACATCTCACTATGGCAAACAGATGGGGTGCAGCAAAAAGGCAGGCATTGATGAAGAGGAGGGAGGGACAGAGGGAGGGAAAGGAACTGAGACTTTATAGAACTCAGTCTGCAGACAAAACTGGTGGAACAAGAAGCAAGGTTACTTTTTCCCAGCTCCAGTACCTCCTTTTTTATAGAGACAGCTATAAATCACCAGATAAATTAGCTCAGAAATGCTAACAATAACTCAAGGTTTTATAGTCCTGATAATTTTTTTGTTAATTGTTGAGTTTTTCAGGCTGCGAAAAGCTTCCAAACAATTCCCTCCTGGACCAACTCCTCTCCCACTGCTTGGAAACTTGGTGCACTTGAACTTTCAGTTTCATCGGGATCTTCTGATGGAGGTACTTCTTTTAATATGTTCTTAATTGGTTATTTTTAGCCATTACTTTAAAAAGTGTGATTAATTGAAGTTTTTAAGTCTGTGAAATTTACAGACAAGGTGTGGACATATAAAGATCAATTGATTCCTACATTTGAGTAATCTTCTTATGTGGAATATGTTGTCTTCATGAGAAACTTAATGCCCTTAAGAATCAAGTCAGTTTGGGGAGAGAGTTTATGACTTGTTATTAAGTTAGAGAATAGCAATAATCTAAAAGATGCTTCTGCATTGCTAAGTGTGAAGCTGTATCCACTACAGTGATAGCTATATCTGCTATCCCTACATGATATCTTTTAAAATTCTCACTGGTATTGCCTAATTTGATCACAAAGTGGGTAATATGGTGCATCATGCTTGTAGTACAGAAAGGGCATTTGCTCCCCATCTTCCTACAGCTCCTGAAAACTGTTTGCCACTTGTTGTTATCAACAGCTGTGGTAATTCCTCTAATGGTTTGTAGGTGACCTCTAGTTCAGGTGGATGCCTGAGAGCACACAGGGGCCAGTGAGTGCAGAGCAGACTCAGGTTGTGATGCTCTAGCAGGGAGAGGAAAGCCAGAATCTAAAAAAATATGAGGAGAAGCAAGTATCTGGTGTGATCAATTTGATTCAATTTTCGTGACACCTCAGACACTGTCTGCAACCTTATTTATATCATTGTGGGTGTGCTGGAGCAAAGTCCATACTTGTAAAAAGCTTTTTCATGCATGATTTGAGTTCCTCTGCCATACACTCATCCCTGCTTGGATACGTCTGCTGTGTGCAATGTAAGTGCTCTCAGTGCTGTGAGGAAACCCTGGACTCAAATGCAGCCCACTGGCACTTCATGGTTGTTGGTTAATTTCCGTGTCCATGCCCTTTCCTGGAGCATGTAGATGGTGCAGGTATTATCAGCTTATTTCATTTTGCAAAGGCAGGACTCGCTGGAGGCACAGAGCCCCAGGGTGGTGTGGAGTGTGGCTCTTAAATTAACAAGGTACAAAATGTTTGGGTTGCAGGTGATGCATAAAGCACAAAGTTTTCTTTCTTTTACTGCAGAGTTGCTGCAGAATGTGCTTTGAAAAGACAATAACTTCCCCTGGGGTAAATAAAATTAGCTGCTGAAAGCCTTATTCTCAGCAAAACAACAGCTTCTTCCTGCTTCTATCTACATGGAGATGATGTTTTCAGCACAAAACTGTCCACTGGGCTGGTGAATAGCAGGTGCAGTGTCTGTTTGAGATCTATATATGGGAATTCATCTGTTCTTTTTCTGGCACCTTTTCCACTTACAGCTGGCAAAAACTCATGGTAACATGTATACTCTGTGGTTCGGGTGGGTCCCAGTGGTGATACTGAATGGATTTCAAGCAGTGAAGGATGGCATGACCACACACCCTGAAGATGTTTCCGGGAGGCTGGTGTCACCTTTCTTCAGAGCATTGGCCAAAGGAAAAGGTGAGATTTTCCTGGCATAAATAGTGTAAAGGAATGTTGACTTGAAAATTATTCTGCCTTTTTAGACTCTGCCCTCCCATTCAGAATACTGTTCAAGTCCTCCACTGACTTTTGAGAATTTCTTACTGTTTGCCTTGCTGTCATTTGCACTGAGTTTCCCTAGCCTAGGAAACACTCCAGGTTGTTTCTATGTGACCTTTTTGCTGTATTCAAGATTTATGTATATGATCCAACCAAGAGCCCAACAATCTTTCCCTCATCACAGACTAATCCATTGTGGTACACAGGATTTTGCTGTACATCACATGAATGCAATGTTTGTTTGGTAACTGTATACATTATGGTTGCCAAACACTTTCCATCATGAGCAAGTCTTATAAAATCCTATTTCAGATTTCACATTTCTGTACTTGCGGACACTCCCAAACATTTTGTGAATACACTTTGATTGTGAGAGTACCTCCAACACAGGAAAACCCACTTATTCTTAAGAGTTTTCCAGCAGTTTGCACTCTTTTTTTTCCTGCCCCTGCATTTGCTTGACTAAAGCTAACAGATTGTTTAGAGTTGGGTGAAGCCTCACCTTCACAGCAGCAGTTCAGGGCTCTTCAAATGATCAGGAGTGCAATCTAGCAATTAATGGAGTGTTGTCTCTTCCAGGATAGAAACACAGCCCAAATGTCCCTTATCTTTCACCTTCATCGCCTCAGCCTACAAACATCACATTAATTGATCTATATCTCCACAAACATACCTTGTTCTGAACTCTACTCTGTGGAAATTCATCCAGTTATTCATGTCTTGAGTGTGATTACTTGAGTATGGCTAAAGCAGATCTCCTAAAAAGTCATCTTAAGGTGTTTCAGGGTTTTTAAGACATCAAGAAATGGAGCAGTCAGAAAATCCTTAGATTGCTCTTTTCAATTAACTACATTCAATATTAAGAACAGTGGTCTAGTTATAGTTTGGGTATATTAGGCTATGATTTTTGGTTATCAGTAACTTCACCTCAAGATATTTGTATCACAGTATATCCCCTGATTTACTCCATGTATTTCATAATATATACTTAAATGAATTGTTCGTATCTATGGAAAATATTAACATGCCAGGAAACACCCTCAGGTATTATACTTGCAAGTGGTCGCTCCTGGAAGCAGCAGAGACGTTTTGGAATAATGACTCTGCGCAATTTGGGAATGGGGAAAAAAGGCCTGGAGCATCGTGTGCAAGAGGAGGCCTCTCACCTGGTGGAGTTTTTTGTGAACCTAAAAGGTATCTTACCTGCTAAGAAATCAGGCACCTTTCAGTCTGGATATGGATCCATATCTTCAGTATGCAAACTTACCAATGCACAAGAGCAGATAGAGCCTAGAATCACAATTATTTATTTCTTATATAACTCTTCATACATCTAGTGAAGCTGGAAACCTCTGAAATTCCACCTCCATGGGCTGATAATTTGTCTGTGATATTTTGTACAATGACATGGTGCTGCTGAACTGCACAGCTAACCCATTCTCAGGCTGCCTGCCATGGGTAACTGAAAACTATTGCAGAGCTTACTAATTTCCTTAAATTTCAATGACATTGGGTGCCCTGCATATTTTAATATATATCTGGCAAAGTAACTATTGGCAAGAGAAACAAAGAAAGTAGGAGGTGGGAGGGAACTTCAGTGGATTATCAGGTTAATCCTAGAGTCCATGACAGGATGATTTGTATCCAAATAATTTTTTATGAATATCTGTTTCATAACATCAGAAAAAAATCATCAGGTAGAGATATGATCTACTGCTTACAGCTGAGACTGTAACAATTCCATTATATTTACTTTGCAGTCCTTGTCTGTCCATTCTTTTTTAGACCTTCCCATATTCTTCCAGGTTTTCGTTGTAATTAGTTTTTTACATTTTTTAACATGTCTGTCACTGACTCTCCTTAGTTCATCTCCAGTGGCACTACCTCCTCACACTCTCTTTTCTGCCTCCTCACAGCTGAGGAAAGCAGATTTGATGTGATAGCTTAGAACAGATCTTAGCTGTACAACACTATTTCACAGGAAGGGCTGTGAAATTGTTTTAGAGCTATGAGGAAACAGTTTAACAGTGTCCTTTGTTCTAAGACTATGTTTTATTTTCATTAATTTATATTAGTGCCACATCTCTGTACTCATTCACATCCCAGCTGGATAAAGAGAACATTTTATTAAATCTTTAATAACATCTAGTCCTATCTGTATAAGGAACACCTGAAAAAAACCACTGAGAGTGAATTCCAATTACTGTGTTTGCAGGAAGACCTGTGGATCCTTCTTTCCCTCTCTTCCATTCTATTTCAAATGTAATTTGTGCTGTGGTTTTTGGATATCACTTCTCTGATGAGGACAAAACCTTCCATGAGCTGATCCGTGCTACAGAGAAAATATTCAGGTTTGCAGGCAGCTTTGTTCATCAGGTGAGTAAATCATATGCTGGTTTTTTTTCTGAAATAGGTAGAAAGTGAAAGAGCAGATACAAAAATGTATCTTCACTAAATACAGAGCAACAGGCAAATACAGGCTGGGAGCTAAGAAGTGTCCTTGGGGAGGGATCTTATGACTGCATCCTTGGTTTAAGGCCATTTTTAAGAACTCTCTTGGTTTTTTTGCAGGCTTAGGGGCTTTAAGTCTTTTGGTATTTCTATTAACAGAGACCTCTAAATTTAATTTGAAACTGGAGTTGGTAATAGATTTGAATTCTGCAGTGTTGCTCCTCCCACTTCTATTTACTTCTCCAGAAATGGGTATCATTGAACTCTTCTGCTTTTTATCACTCTAAAAATCATATGCTGAAAATTTTCTTTTTTCCCCTACCTCACAAATAATAAAATATTCATTATTAATATTTTCCTTACTGTGTTATAGCTCACCATTCACACATTGCAAATACATACATTCTCTGACAGTTTCACAATTCAAGTTCTGTCAGAGATTTTATTGTAGCTTCTTCCCAGAAAATACCACAAAGACCAACTTTGCACTTGAGACATTCCTCATGAATTAGACTTTGTGGTTTAGACCCTTAAAGAGGGACAAGCTGTGTGTAATGAGGAATGTGGATGGCATAGCAGATTTAACTGGCATTTGAATTTTATAGGAAAAGGCAAACTAAAATGCTGATATGGCAGTAAACCATTCAACAAATCTGTCATATGAAACTAGCACTATACAACTTTTCCGCAGTTGAAAATACAAAAGTAGATTAAATTTGTGGATGATTAAAACCAGGAGACTTTAAGATGCAGAGGAGGTTCAGAACATCTTGCTGCAAGAGTTAGTAAGTGCTGTGGATTGGAGTTATGAGAATGGAAAAAATTGTATTAGTACAAAATGAAATTACAAAACATTCTAGGAATTAATAAGATATTAATTAATGAGATTAATTATTCTAAGCTCACTTACTATGAGTTTACAACATGCAAAGGTTAAGAGGAAAGGGATTGGTAAACTAACAGATAACAGAATGAAAAAGGCAAACAGGATCTTAGGGTATTTCTAGCACTATTTTCCTTTTAGATTCAGTGAAGTGTTATAGTAGGTTCTGAAGTGTAATAATCTGTGAGACATATTCTAGGGTCTTGGACAACTTTTGCTGTGATTCTGGAGAATTGGTAATTAAGTAACCTACAAATTGTCACTTAGAGAGACTCTGCTTGTTAGCTCTGAAAGAACAAGGAGAGGAGATAGAACTGCTCTTTGCTGGGCAGGGTGGAATGGCAGATGCTGCACAGACAAAGCTATCTAAGACAGAGAACAGTACTTAGAGCTGAAAAATGTGTGTGTAAATACACTCAGCAGGCTGAGGATGTAATATTGTTTATCATAAATAACACCAATTATTACTCCTTAGCAGTCACGAGGACTCTGACTGGGAAAACTAAATTAGCCCTTATCTCAGACTGATACCCACTCCTTAATTCCTTTTGTGAGCTCCAAAAATTCCTGCAGTTACTTGAGGCTGCAGACCTGTTAATCTTAGTAGCCCCATTGTATCCAGAAAGGATGTCCTTACATTTTGAGCATATGGGAGCTGGGGTCTCCGACTGTGCAGGAGTGAGGTCATATAATGATCTTCATTAGCCAAATAAACTTAGAGGCATGAGCAGAGTGTTGTCAGAATTGCTTTGACCCCTGGAATTGTGTCAAATTACTATTAAAGCTCTTCCACATGATGGCAAAATTCTGCTCAAAGCAATGCTGATTGATTTATTCCACTATCAATATTTCTGGGCAGGACATTTCAGCCTTTTGGTGTATCTAAAAGCAGCTTTGTCAGTGACATTCATGGTACCTCTTGTGTGTCACTCCCACAGATGTACGAAATCCTGCCCTGGCTGCTGTGTCACCTTCCTGGGCCTCATAAGAAGGCGTTGGCTTGCTATGATGTCCTGAGTTCTTTTGCAAGGAGGGAGATCAGAAGACATGTAGAGAGAGGGATACCAGCTGAACCACAGGATTTCATTGACTTTTACCTGGCTGAGATTGAGAAAGTAAGTGTTTGTTCTGGGTGATGATATTGTTACGAAGCAGTAACAGCATCATCACCCAGATGGTGATGGTTTTAATGGTCAAACAGACCATTAAATCACTCAGTGTGACCCTTCCATCATAGTCTCTTACATTTCATAAGCTTCTTAACATGAATACAGTATCTTGGGATTTACATGCCTCAGAAAGGCGTTCAGTTTTGTATGTTGGTTGCATTAGTGAATTACCATCAAGTATGATAAGGGGTGAACCCATGAGCTCTCACTGCTTTCCATAAATATCCATTAGAATGCCTTAATCCTGTAATAAATATGAGACTGTTTATTCCTGTAGGCTACATAACTTTGGTAGACCACCTCATCTTCTACTGTGAAGCTCGTGTTTACAGTGGGATTAAACACACTTGCACAAATCACTTCCCTGAAATAGCAGGCATGCTTCTTTGGGATCCAGCATGTGTGCTCCAGCACCGGCTGTCCTTGTGCCACATAACTGCCTGGTTTCTCCCTTGGCAGGCAACCATTATCCCTATGTTACCTCTAATTTCCCCACTGTTTGGGGCATGGCTGGCTTGGCCCCTATATTCAAATTGGACACCATAGAAAACAATTCCACAAACAATGCCATAATCAGCATTAATATTCTTCATTGCTCAGGCTATTATTTTCCATAGTAAGATGTGACTCTGAGCTAGAGAGGCTCTGCCAAGAGCACTATGGCTTCTGCTTCAAACTTTCAGGAGGTAAAGGAAGCATCTCTTTCCTAGGGTAGATGAAGTTTACATAGTTTCTACCTCTGGCCATAAGCTTTCAGCTAGTCAGGCTGCTGTGTCCTCACAGTGTTGGCTCATGGGCTCAGAAAGGAGCTGATACATCATCTTTTGTGATTAAGTTATCAAGCATAGAATTCCCTTTTTCTGATGAAAGAATAATCCACCTCATGAAAGACAGCAATGCAGACTTACTGTGCCTATTTGGGAAACTACTAAACTCTTATTATGCATCAAAAACTGTAATTTTGACTATTCTTTGTGCACATGCCAGCTGTGGAAGTCCCACAGCTCTCACACAGAGGGGCATACAGGATAACCACATTTTTATGCTTTAACTTCAACTTTTTATCACCATCTACAGTCTAAAGAGGGGGCCAAGCCCAAGTATGATGAAGAGAATTTGGTATATGTCATAAATGATCTTTTCCTTGGTGGATCAGAGACCTCAAGCACTACATTATACTGGGGACTGCTCTATATGGTGGTGAATCCAGGCATCCAAGGTGAGAATGGTGGGGTTTTCCTGTTTATTTTTACTATCCTGTACTAAACTCAGGCACTAAATAATATTAAATCACAAGATACAAACCTAATGTACTATGTTGAAATAATAAATTTTTCTATTGCTCCAAGAAAAGTGACCAGCTAAATTATTTTATGCATTTTTCTCCTCTGAAGTGGTGAATATTTCTCCACAGCAAAAGTGCAGAAGGAGCTGGATGCTGTTCTGGATCCTTCCCAGTTAATTTGTTATGAGGATCGGAGAAAACTGCCCTACACAAACGCTGTGGTTCACGAGATTCAGCGCTACAGCAACATTGTCTTTGTTGGCATCCCCAGATTGTGTGTGAGGAACACAACACTACTGGGATTCCCTGTCAAAAAGGTACAGACACATTTTCATCTTCTTTCTTTGGAAGAGAGTCATTCCAGTTTTGTAACCAATTTTCCCTCAATAAACTACTTTCTGTTAAACTCAGGAATGTGGTGCCTGAGGAAGTGTTACTGTTTGTGGCTCCAGGAATGAAAGAAGTCTTTTACCTAACATGTAGGTGCTCTATAGCTGATAAGACCTATGCCAGGGAAGCCTCAAGTTCCTGCCCATCATCACAACTGCAGAGACCAGCTCTGCATGGCAAGGGATGGACTGAGAGGAGAAACTGGTTTGCCAAAGCACTGGTTAAGACATCCCTGCCCAGCTTGGCACTCGCTCAAATGCCAACAAGCAACAGTTTTATCCATCAGGCATGAACTGATGGCTAACAGGCACTTGTATTTGGAACTGAAACAACAGTTTCTTCTTTGCAGGGCACCATTGTTATACCCAATATAGCATCTGTTCTGTACGACCCTGAGCAGTGGGAGACACCTCGACAGTTCAACCCTGGCCATTTTCTGGATAAAGAAGGAAACTTTATACCTCGAGAAGCTTTCTTACCATTCTCAGCAGGTAAATGCACTGACAGTCTGAACTGACCTGACAGATGAGATGATGAATACAGAAGCATGAGATTATGGTATTTCTTCAGATAACATCTTCTATATCTGCTGTTTGCTGCTTTTAAAGAACATTCCTGGCTTGTTTCTGCCAAAGGAGAGGCTTCTGTCCTGTCAGACCCCAAACTGTTCATAGGACACTGTGGTGGGAATCCTCAAACTCCCAAACCTCTTGGGCTGGCTGCATGCTGCAGTCATACACAGGTTTTGTCTGTAGTATTTTTTACACATAGCTATTTTTCTGAGAAGTAATTCGTCTGATGTGTACTGGACTTAATTGCAATCCCTTTTAAAGAAACAAGCTGAAAGAAAAGCAGAAGGCATCCTGATAAATACAGGTTTACATTCTTGCTTACAGTACTGAAAATCCAGTTGCAAAAGAAGGAAACAAGGTAACAATGCACAGTTAGTAATCATACCTAGCAGTAAAGTATCTGCTAGTGGTTTTGTTTTAGTTTGTTGATAGTCACTCAAATGACCATACAGAAGTCGTTCCTTAGTTCAAATGGATTGTTCTTTCCTTGTATTTGTCTGCTTTCTGGAAAATTAAACGTAATATTCACCTTCTGCTCACACTATTGCCAAGGAATTGGAATCCTGGGAAATGAACAGTAGGCATCATGCTTTGCTTATAAAGTGACCAAGCTTCTGTTCAACTGCAAATGCCACTACTAAGTAATTTTGCTCTGTTGATGTTAACTCACTAAAGCATGTGCAAACAGCTGGCAGATTTTTTGTGTGTGGTCCTGAAGTTCAAAATCTTCTGTAAAAGCAAAACAGTTTTTTTCTGTCAGGTCAAGAAAGGAATTATGTTGGCACCTCATGGATTCTCATTGAGATTTTGTGTCTCCTAACCTAAGACATTCTATGGAATCTTTTTGAGAGGGAATTCACATAGTTTCAGTTCTGTGGCTTTCATGGTGCTCTCCTTAAACAAAACAAAACCCATGTCTGCTTTCAACAGGAATGAACTAGGTGATTATGAAACTGAAAAATTCCTAGATATTCACTATCCTTTCCTCTCTGCTCTGCAGGGCACCGGGTGTGTTTGGGGGAGCACTTAGCAAGGACCGAGCTCTTCATTTTTTTTGCCAGCCTGCTGCGGGCGTTCACCTTCCGGCTCCCTGAGGGAGTGACAGAGATCAACACTGAGCCCCTTCTGGGGGGCACTCTGCAGCCTCACCCCTACAGGGTTTGTGCCATTCCACGCTAGGCTGCAGCAGCCACAGGCCAGCATGAGACAGCCACCTTTACCTCCATGAATTTCCTCTCAAGTGTATAAACCTCCTGGCTACTGATATTAGTCTATCCCAGCATTATTCAGAAAGTGGATTCAAGCCAAGATCCAGACCATTTTTTGGTCTGGTCTTTGCGAAAGTCACAGATATTCTCACAGGGATCTTGGCCGTATTCACTTCTCTGAGAACACTTGAAGCCAGATGCTGTGGCTCCCAGCTGAAGCCATGCTGTGTCTCCTTGTCCTAGTCAAGCAAAATCATCCTCATTCTCAGTCCTGAGCAATCCTCAGGAAAATTCAACAGACTATCTCAGCAAGAGCTGAGAAGATGTTATTTCTGTGAGTGGCCTGATGACCTCAAGTGATTTGACTGAGGAAAGCACACTATTAAAGCTTTGTTTTGGTTTTATTTTCCTGAACTTAGCCACTTATTTTGTCAACAGGTTACAAAAAAACCCAAACAAAAATAAAACTGTCACCTAAATCCCAGGAAACACATTAGAATGCAGGTGCCTTCATATCTGAATTTGATGTTGTCTCCCATATACTAGGTAAAAAGTTATTCTGAAGTTGAAGAAAGAAACTTAAATTTAGTATTAACAATCCATGTGAAAGTGTGACTTTGCAGGCTGATTATAGTTATATTACATTGTCAAATTGTTAGTTAGTTTTTTACTGTTTATTTTATTTTTAATGATGTGGATTCCCACCCATTTTCAATCCTTCTTGGATAAGGCATTGAATGTGAGATGAGAGAGTCACTTCGCCTGTGAATTTCACTGCTAACTCCATGACAGAGGAATGTAGAGGCTTTGGAAGGCAGCCTCTAGGGGCTACCTGAACACTTCAGATAGTCTCCATTTCCTCTGTGTCCTTTACTTTTTTCATTACAACCCACACCACACTTCCTGGACTCCATTCAACTTTATTTTGCCCTCTATCAGTTCCTGCTCCCACCCCTACCTTTTATCCATATAAACTCTATTTCAGGATTCACCTTGATGTGAGCTTCTCTCTGCTTTTTTTCTGCACAACTATTAGTAGAAGAATCCATGCTGAGCTGAAACACCAGTGTGTTTTCAGAAGGGAACTTGGAAAATCTCATTTATTTGTTCTTTAAGGGTCCAGATTATGGAAAGAAGCGCACAGTAAACTGTGGAGGGCACACTAGAGGTGATTTAGTGTAAGAAAAGAAATAAATGATGATGTGATGCAGGAATTCTAAAACATCTGTTATTTAAGGTAGCTGCTCCTTGGCACTGATTCAACTCAAGAATAGATGGTTTGAGCACACAGCTGGAGGTGACAGCCAAGTTCATCTGTAACTTTGTTAAAGTGAAGTGATGGAGAGTTCTTGTATGCCAATTGCTTTTGGAAAGGATTCAAATGTTGGAGTTGAGTAGAGCTGCCTGTAAACACTACTGTAAACTTAGCATCAGATACTATTGAGTTATTACTTAGTTATTGAGTTATTACTTAGTTTGTATTGAGGACCAAAAGTGCTTTTATGTTGTAAGATAAGGTATTTATAATTAAATCACTGTGGTACATCTGAACTTTCTGAATTTAAAATGGAGGAGAATGTTACTACAGAGGAGGAACTGACCAGATCCTGGCATGCCTTGTAGCTCTGGCAGTGGTCTGCACCAGCACAACCCAGCACTGGCAGGCTTGCAGGGATAGAAGGGAAATGAGGGCAGTGAGAGCTTTCACAAAGCAACAGCTGTTATAAATAATCCAGCCTGTTGCTCCATGCAACATACCAAAGAATGTTCCAGGGCCTACACACTCCTGCTCAGCCTCCTTTCCAGCTTTATCTGTGCTTCTCCTTCACCCTATCAGCACACATCTGCTCCTATCCAATAAACCTGTGTCTTGATTTAAAAGACAGGTGTCTACCAAGGAAGGCAGGAACCTTCCTGGAATGGAAAAAATGACTCCTTCTCTCCACATTATTGTAACTTTGAAATTATGGGGCTTTCAGGCAAAGATATGTGGAAAGGAATAACAGTTCTTGACTAGAATGTCTATATACCAAGACAAACAAACAACAACAATGGCAGCAACACCGAACAGAACCACAAACCCAGTCCCAGCCTCTCATGGCAGCAGGTGCCCTCCCCTCGGTGCAGCTCCGCTCCCGGCCGGCAGGGGCGCTGCTGGCTCCTGGCCAGGCAGGGAAGATTCCCCTGCGCCCACAGGGTTGAGGCTGTGGCGTGAGCGTGGCCACCTCTGCATGTGGTGATGATGGCAGGAGAGAGGAGAGGGCTGCCCTTGCAAACCTCACAGCGAGACGCCGGCCTCTGGGCCACCGGGGATGGGGAAACAGGCTGTAGCAGCAGAGATGAGCAGACATGGGGTGGCAAAGTGTAGCCAAAAGCCCTGGGGCGGTGGCAGGAGCAGCAGGGCTGCAGGCACAGGCTGGGAGTCAAGCTTAAGTGTATCAATAACCCCCGAAGCAGTGGCAAAAAACAGCCAGGGCCGGTCGGACCTGGGAAGAGAGAGAAGGTGGAGGGAGGTAGGTGTTTCAGGTTTTCCCCTGGCTCTCACGTGTCCCTTGTGATGTCCTGGGAATGGCAGCAGCACGTGGGAGGTGCTCCCTCTGGAGAGTTTTCAGGGCACCTCCTGGCATCTAGATCGTCCTTTACTGTGTTCAGTGCTATGGCCAGCTTTGTGCTGGCTATTTTGTAACATTCTGTACATGTGTGGAAAATTAATTTCAATTAATCTCAGTAAAACTTACAGCTTTGGCTGGAAACTCGCTGAACAAGGTAAGGCATATTTGCAGGGATGGTACAAAGGGATCTAGCATTAGGCTGGACTTGATTTACCATCCTCACTGGTGATTAAGAAGAGTTGAAGAGTAGAACATGCTTTGAAACGTGACATTTTAAAATTATTCTAAACTCCTTGCAGAACTCTTAGATGAAAAAAGGGGGTTTATAGGTCTGACTGAACATAAAAACGAAGACACAATGTAGAAAATAATTCATAGAATAAAGCATAGACAAATGTAGGCACAATAAAACTCAGACAAAATAGTCCTAAATTATCTGGGTCATTCTCCACTATGCTCTGAAGAGCCTCTATAAATCTGTATGAATGATCTGTTAAGGTGATTTCACAGAGCTCATATTAGCTGGAGCAAATCAATGGCTTTATATGCATGTGGGAACATACAGAAATGAATAAAAAATGGTGGGTTTCACTATAGATTTCTCCTTGTTTCAGAGACATCCACAGGAAATAAAGCAATCTGATTTTAAAAACACAGCAGCTATGAACCCTATCTTTTAGATTGAACCAAAATGTTTTAAAATTTCTTCTCCTTCCTCCATGTACTGAGGGGAATAATTTAGATGAAATTTCCATTCAAAATAGCTTTTACAATTTCCCCCTGGGGGAAGGAGGGACGTCTCAGTAGGAGCTGAGAGACTACAGTGAGCTAGGTGAGAAATAGCTGGTGGGAAAGTGTCATATATTAAACAAATTTCATCTCAGCAGCCCCTGCCCTGCTGAAGATTCCAGAAAAGAAAAATTACAAGGAATGAAGTAAAATGGTGGGAAGGAGAAAAACCTCTTTCCTACTGGTGGAGTAAAAGGAGTTCAGCTTTTGTCCTGATAAGCACAGAGGACAGACAGGGAGAGGGAGGAGTCAAGGGAGCATTCAGCAGCTCCTGTTTTAATTTTCTCATCAACAGTGTAACATCTGTGCTGAGAAAAGAAGACCTGACCCGCCCCCCCCCAAAGCCGGCTCTTCTCCCCACCACTGAAAAGAGCCTGTGCTGACTTCAGATAGCACCACAGCCAACAAAACATCTGCTGGAAGTTACACAGTTTGGGTATTTAAAGTAGCTAACAAATAAATTATAAAATAATCTAAAGATGTAATATAAATAAGGGGTGTTATATGTGGAGTAATGCTGTATCTGCAGCTTACTGTTGTGAAAACAAATGTCACTTCCAGAGGCCATGAAAAAAAGTGTGGATTTAGGGGACACTTCTAAGTCTCAGAGGGAATGGTGCTTTAGCCACGTATTTCTAAATGCTGCTAATCAGTGTCCTGAAATGGAGCCATCATCATTGTGTCAAAACATATCTCTTGGAAAAGTTAAGTAGTAGATCTTAAAGCCAAAATATACCTTAGATACTTCAGTATGTTGAGATCTTCACAGAAAGGTTTTCAGTTGTCAGGAACTTGTATGTTTTGCCCATTCTTTGGTAAAGAAGGAACACACCACTGCTGCATTTTCTGGCATCACCAAGGGCTCTGTCCTGCAGGATGGCATGGGAGGACAGTGGTGGGGGAATAGGAGTCTATGAACTTGTCCTAAAGCTTTCACTGATATAAGAAAATCCCATGAAGCGTTCTGAATTCAGCAGATTGGCAGATCTCTGAAAGAAACATCTGCCATTGAAAAACTTCCAGCTTGATCTTTTGCTATCATTCAGATCTTTTTAATACTGCCTATTTGCTTTTTCAGACAAGAAATATGGTGCTTTCTCAGACATGAAGAGACAGAAACTTGTAAGACACTACTACTTTCTACTGCTCTTCACATTCACCCGGTTTGGAAAATCAGAGATTCTGAAAACTGTTGTTTGCTGAAGTCATCTGGAGTTGATGACTGTATATGTTGCAATGTTGGCTGTACTCTAAACTCACCCCTCTCTTGTCTGAAGATTAAAAGCAATGCCATCTCTGCAGTGTGACAAAGACAAGCTGGTCTGGAGCCTCCACGTCCTCTTTTTGGCAGGAACAGAAACCACAGCAACCACTTTGCACTGGGCACTGCTCCATATTTTGACTTATCCCAGAAAAGATGGGAGACTAATGAGGTCACATGCAAAACTGCTTGGATTGTGCTTTTTCAGAGAACACACCAAGATCAGCACAAAGGTAAACACTTGTAAAACTGCATCCAGTTGGAAATTCATTCTTTCTGTGAGCTGACAAACACACCTGATTTATTCAG